TCTGCCACTGTGTGCAGAGCAGAGGGAGGTCAGCCCATGCTGCACTGGGGGCTGGGACAGCCACATCTGGGAGGGGAAGGGGGGAGCTGAAAGAGGGCTGAAGAGGGTGTAGATAAGGTGGGATTTAGGGGGATGAGGGATGGGTCTGGGGCAGATGCAGGAGGCAGGGAATGGCTGAAGTGGGGATGGGGTGATGCAGGGGAATCAGGGAAGACTTAGGGGCCAGATGGAAACAGGACTTCAATAGAGGGAAACTATCAGTGGGGGGGTCACTGAGAAGGAAAGGGGGGACATGGGGAGGGGAGGCTTTGAGAGCAAGAGCAGACTGGCTGGGGAAGGGAGGGAAAGAGGGTGGGGGTCAGGGAGAAGGAGAGGGCGGAATACAAAAGCAGCTCTCCCACCCCACGGGGCAAGAGAGGGGTAGGGGCTGCCCCACCCAGCAGCCAAAGGAGAATTCTTTTACTGCAAATAGTTAAGGAAGCTTTGGGGGTTTGTGGAGGCTTCCACCTAAGGGCTCAGAAGTTACAAGGCAGGTATCCAGATTAGGGATGAAAATAGTATGTAAAAAGTAACCCTTTCAACTATTACAATTCTACTGGTAACACGTTAAGGAGTTCACAACATGGGCATCTGCCCAGCATCCCGGCTGCCGCCATGACGGGTTTAGCCTGGCAGAGCACACACAGAACAGCTGGAATTGCTCTGGGCCCAGTGGAACGATTTTAGAGTAGGGGTGTGGTGCCCCCCTTGTCCCTGTCTGTGCCCCCCACCCCTTTGACGTGGGGCCGGGAGCAGGGCCATGGCTCTGGGAGGGTTGGAGTTGGGACACAGACAGGGGTAAGAGGCCCGAGGCTGGACGTGGAAGCTGATGAAGTCATCCCCATCATACTGGCATTTCCCCTGCCCCCCCGGCGGTGTTCCAGATCAAGGCCTCCATCCTGTGGAACCCAGGGGGAGGGCAGGGACAGAACTAGGTCAGCAGCCAGAAGTGCTCAAAGATCACGAGTCCAACCCCCTACTCCCAATCAGTTACAGAGATTACCAAATTTGGATGCTTTTTGTTTGTCCTCTGGATTTGCACCTTTCTGGGGACACTGGGAAGAAAGGTCCTGTCACCTAGAGCCTGAGGGCGTGTGGCCATCACCAGAGCACGTGTCTGACCCGCGGCATCCCTGCAGCACAGCCAGGGCCTGGGCAGGAGGCCTGGGACGTGGGAGGGACAGACTGTGAACTGCCCCCGTGCCAACAGAGTGGGGCTAAGTATTTCCTTTCTCCTTTCTCATTGTTTAGTGATTTTTTTTTTATTAGCTGCTGTTTAGTAAATTGCATTTGTTCTGGAGTATAGACAATGGTCAGGGAGGAGGTCAGGGAAGCATCCAGAGCGGAGAAAATACTCTGGAGTGGGGATGCTCCAGCCCGTGTCCTGAGTGGTCACACCAAGGTTGGGGGCCGAGCCCCTCAGGAAGCCTGGGCCCAGCCTTGTCAGGGTTATAAGGACTTTGCCACACAGGAGAGTGGAAGGGGAACCCTCAAGGTGAGGCAGGCTCCGGGTGAAGGAAGAGGGAGCGAGGACTCAGATCCTTCTGCTGTTCGATTCCACCCAGGGGGTGTCTAAGTTAGGAAAGTTCCACACAGTAATGGGACCATTTCCCCGCTTACCTCCATGCATGTTTACTGGCTTCCCCTAAAGTTCATATTACTTCATAAAGTAAATATTTTAGGGAAAAGTGTCAGAGCGGCCACCAGCGAGAGTTGCTGGCCTCACTCTGAGGCCACCAAACCTTTGTTTGGGAGAACCCCTGGGCTAGATGCTCAGGACGGGCCCTTCTGACCTTAGAGCCTGTGAGTGTAACAGGAGCCGGGCACAGGGATGCTGCAGATGGGTTGATTGATCGCTAGGACCCAGGAGGAGCTGGGGGGCGGCTCGGTGGGAGGATCGCGGGGCTCAGGCCCGGCCGCAGGAAGTGACTCGCAGCCGCTGCGGGGACTCTGGCTCCCGGCGAGATCCCCGCGCCCCGGCGGCTGGTGCTGGGAGCCCGGAGCCCGGGCTGCAGCCGGGAGAGGGGAACCTCCAGCCGGGCCCTGCCCGCTGCTCCCCGGGAGCCTCTCCCAGGGCAGAGCCCCCAGCCCGGCCAGGGCCCCTTCCCGGCCCGGCCCCTGCCCCGGGGGGCCCCGCTCGGAGGGAAGGTAAGAGAGACCCGCCCCCCCCCGTCACCCCCAGGCTGCAGGGGGCGGGTTTGGCCCCGGGCTGCTCCCCGCGGAGCCGGCTGCGATTCCCTGCCCCGGGCCCGGGAAAGCTGCCGCAGCTCCCGGTGTGTGCGGGCGGGGAGCCCTGGCACAGGCCCTGGCAGGCAGGGCGGAGGGGGAAACCCAGGAATGAGGTGAGCAGAGGGAATAAAAATTCCCCCCAGATAGGTCGAGCCAGCTGCAGTGGTTGCAAAAATAGGGGTGAGTGGGGCTTTTCCTTCCCCCTTTCCTAGGATTTTAGCTCCCATTTCCCAGTTCATCGCAGTGCCCGGACAGGGCCCCTCTCCCCTCCTGTATAAGATGTTACTGAGGTGCTAGAGGGGACTTGATCCAGTGAACTATTGACAGACACCCCCCTCCACTCCCCCAGATCTCCCTGTCACACCTGCTTTGAGCCTTTAAAAGAATCCGGGTCTCAGTTCCTGTGTCTGTGTAAAGCCACCCAGCACTTCATCCATGTGTCCTAGCCCCTGTCCCTGTTCCCCTGAGTTTCACTCCCCTTGGAATCCAGTCTGGGCAGTTTCACTCCTTTACATTCGTTCTTTAAAAAAATATTCTTCTTACTCTGAGCGCTTCATCCTAAACTTCATTAGCCTTGTGCGGAGGGTCGTCACGGTGCCCTGGTATTCCTATTTTTAACGGCAAATCAGCACGGGAAATATTAACAGTTTCTCCTTGGCCTTGGTCAGGCCGGGGGACACCATGGTGACCTCACCCTGTTTACCTTTTGGTGAGATTAAGGTACTTTGCCTCTGCTCTGTTTTTGCGGCGGGCTAGCTAATGCAGGTGAGTTACCCCATGGGAAAAACACCCACTTTCTTATAGACACAGACTAAGCTGCTGACTCCGATGTTAAATGACCCGTTATTGTTCATGGGCTGAAAACTCTGATACTGAGTGTGTGTCTCCTAATTCTGCTCCTGTGCCAGGTGCTGCCTCTGAATGTCTGCACCCAGTTATGCGGGCGTCATGGAACAGAAATTAAAACATTTAAAACTAAAGGAATTAGCAGAGACCCCCCCCCCACACACAGCACCTCTCACCAATTTCTCTCATTTCCCTTTGCTTCTTCAGGTCTTGTCTGGTGGTCTGATGTTAAAGGTGTGACGTTAATCCACATGAATTCCAGGGCTTTAAACCCCTGTGTGGACGCTCTCGTTCAGAAGTCAAGTGGCCTTAATTTAGACAAAAAGAAAAGGAGGACTTGTGGCACCTTAGAGACTAACCAATTTATTTGAGCATGAGCTTTCGTGAGCTACAGCTCACTTCATCGGATGCTATAGCTCACGAAAGCTCATGCTCAAATAAATTGGTTAGTCTCTAAGGTGCCACAAGTACTCCTTTTCTTTTTGCGAATACAGACTAACACGGCTGTTACTCTGAAACCTTAATTTAGACAGTGGCAGTCAGGACAGCCACAGACCAGGGCAGGAGACCTTCCCCCAAACATTATAAATCTTCAGGTCTTTGATCGCTTCTTGAACATTTTTAAGTTTTGGATAGTCCAGGTGTAACCCACATGCGATGTTTCAAGCCTAAAGAGAAGGAGCGAAACAGTGGGGCGCTCATCTCATCTTCCCTGACTGTTGCCTTGAGTAGAAACGCCATTAAGATATTTCACAGCTTTGGTCCAACAGAATGTCAGTAGATGGGTTGAGGTGGAAATGTGTAAGGTGATCTCGCTCCTCTGCTGCCTCCTGCAAAGGACAGGACATGCTTCGTGAGCAGGAGGGCGAAGGCAGGATAGTGTCATGGCAGATCCTGCTGTGAGCATGGAGAGTGTTGGCCTGGCTGCTCGGTGATCCCCTTTGTAAGGAATATAGCCCAAATGGCGGCACTCTTGTCCCATGGGAGTGAACTATAAAGACTCCTTTGATCTCTTGCCCTGGTGAGAGTGTGCCCTGAGGGAGACACACTGCACCAGAGTCCTGCCTGGCTTCATTCAGAGCCGTTCCAGAGCATGGAGATGGTGACTGTCCTAAACACCTGTCTCCTGTCCATGCTCTGATGGCCTCAGCTCTCAGGTGAATAAAGAGGGAGAGGCCGGGCCAGGTGGCATGTGCCCAGTGAAAACATCCAATGCAGCTTTGGAAACAAATACAGAGCATGTCTGGTAACTGCTCCTCCCTACTTCTGGATGCTTTGGAGCAAGATCAGCCCTGTGCTGAGACACAGCATGACAATGCGTGAAGTGAGCTTAGTATATTTTTGTTACACCTGCCAGACTGTGCCTCACACCTTTGTGAGCATCGCAGTCACAGACTCACCGACATGACCATCCTCATGTACAACAGGGGTAACAGACAATGCTTTCTCTCCAAGTTACATTTCCCTGGCAGAGCCTAGTTACAAGGCAAATATCCACAGGCAACCCCCTCCCTTCCCGCACACACTGCTCCCAGTTTACATTGGATTTTTTTTTAAAAGAGACAAACTCATGATCTTTGGGGCTCTGATTCTTGAGTGTTCAGGGCTTCCCTAGGTCTTGGTCTGATTTCCAGACAGGTTTTAGATTTCACCCACACCGGAGTCAGACCGGAGTCACTCCTCGCTCTGGTGGGGGGAGTGCGGATGGGCCAACGGGATCAGCCTCCGCCTGCCTGTCCCTGGGGGCTGCTGTGGGAGTCGAGGGCAGCTCATTCTTCAGGTGTTGCCACCAGAGGGCTCCGGCTATGGCTAAGGGGGAGAGGGGTTTACACTGCAATGGGGGGAAATCTGCCAAAGTGGCCCCTTTGATTCTGCTCTTTTTCTAGCGGTTGGCTCAGGGATGCTGTTACTGGGAGGGTCTAAAGAGCCTGGGGGAAATCAGGGGGTGACATGGACTCCAGCCCCTTCTGTAACCTCCCCCATCACCCCGACAGGCTGAGGAATCACGTCCACATAGCCAGCTCAGGTAGGGGATTTCAGGGAGTTGCTGGGTGGGGGGAGGGAGAGGCAGGGAGGAGACAGGGTGTGATAAACCTGCTGATTTTCTGAGTAGGCCCATTGGTGGCGAGGGAGGGGAGAGGGGACATTCCCCCATTTCTCAAACAGGATATAACCCCCTGGGCAGGGTTGGGAACATTTTCCAGACTCCCAGTGCTGGAGCCTGAACCCACTGGCCAGAGCCTGCTGTGAAATACGAAGGGAAGCTGTCGGGATTCCTGTCCCTGCCTCCGGCTCAGATCTCCGCTTCCCGTATCAGCCTGTGGCTGGCAGGCATGTGGGAAATGAGAAGAACCTGCCCTGCTCCGTGTGCTGGGGCGGACAAGGAGCTCTCACCTTCTCCCAACCCCCTGAAGCCTCCTGGCTGCTCTGAACAATAGGAGTCAGTTTCTGCTACTCTGGCCCTCCCAGAGCTTTGAGTTTTCCCCCCTTTCCTGTGACTAGTGGGATTGTGGCTGGGGCAGCAGGTGCTGAGCGGGGGACTCTTGTTGTTCCAGATGCCGGTGACCTTCGAGGAGGTGGCTGTGTATTTCACCCAGGGGCAGGGGGCTCTGCTGGACCCCGCTCAGAGAGCCCTCTACAGGGACGTCATGCAGGAGAACTACGAGACAGTGACCTCGCTGGGTAAGGGATTCCCATCCCTTTGGTTATTAGAGGCCATGTAGTCTGCATGTCTGACTCTGGTCAGGTTCTTCCATCGTCCGTTAGATCAGAGGCGAACGGGTTCCATAATGCACGGCTGCCATGTGAGAGAGACTTGCATCTCCATGCCCTCTCCAGTGAGACACGGTGTCAAAACTTAATGGACATGCTAGCTCATCCCCACCCCTCCAGCTTTCAAAGAGGCAGAATTCATTCATTGTCCTGTCTGTATTGATTCCCATTCACATACACAATCCTTATTTACCTGCCTTCTTGGGAATAGCTCCAACCGTTGGGAAGGCTTACAAAGAGGCATGGGTTTAATGCCAGAGCTGTGTGTGTCACCAAGGCCCCTAGACTGTTCAGATCCTAGGAACTCCTAGTGAGGGTGTAAAAATTCTCATCACCTCCCAAGATGTCTGCTTCTCCCAAGGGGGCTCAGCGACCATGTTCTCGTCCTCTTGGGTTCCACGTTCCCCAGCAGAGCACAGGGACAGGTTCCGCTCACAGAATGTCCTTTGTGACAGATGCGCTCTCAATCCTCTATGCACCCTGATCTGGTCTGATTTCACCCCCTGCGCAGGATTTCCCATTCCCAAACCTGACCTGATCGCCCGCCTGGAACGAGGGGAAGAGCCGTGGGTCCCGGATCTCCAGGCCTGCGAGGAAAGAGAGAGCCTGAGAGGGGCCCACACAGGTGAGAACTGACAAAGAAACCATCTGGGGAATGAAGGAAAAAGTTGAGAATCCCAAAAGTGTGGGTATCAGTAAGTGCCCTCAGTTCTTCCTCACCTCTTCCAGAGCAGGGCTGTAGTGAGCAGACATTACTCACTGCTCTACACCCGTCTTGTTAGCTGCAGGAGTTTCCTTCCCATCTCTCCTTCCCTGTGAGTTTTTGGGTGGGAAGTGGAGGCAGAATCGAATAGCTCAGTCTTTGTGTTGGGTTTTCCCTCGGTGTTATTTCTTTTTCTCCCCAGCACAATGACTCCCGTCTGGATTGTCTCTCTCTCCAAGCAGGTGCTGAGCGAGTGAGTGAGAGCGTGGAGGGGAATCACCATCAGGAAGTTCTTGGGGAAGTGGAATCACAGGGGACCTTTGTGGTAAGAGCTGAAATTTCCCAGTGTTGGAAACAGAGAGAAGCCTGGGAAAATTGGCACAGGTCAGAGAAGATGCAGGGAAACCACCCAAGGAAGAAAGTGCATGAATCTATTAAATGTGGGGGAGGGGACAAGGATCCCACAACCCAGCAGACAAATTCCAAAGAAGACATACGCTATGTATGCCTCGGTTATGGGGAAAGATTCATTCTGAGATCACATCAGACAATCCATACTGGAGAGAAACCACTTCAGTGCTTGGACTGTGGGGAAAGCTTCAATAATCGCTCAGCCCTGAATAACCATGGGAGAAGCCACAGAAGAGAGAAACCCTCTCAATGCCTCGACTGCGGGAAATGTTTCATTTGGAAGTCAGAACTAATTAGACATCAGTTAAGCCACACAGGAGAGAGACCCCATAAGTGCTTTGATTGTGGGAAAAGTTTCAAACAGAGGTCAGACCTTTTTAATCATCAGGCAATCCACACAGGAGAGAGACCCCATAAGTGTGTGGAGTGTGGGAAAAGTTTCAGTCGGAGGTCAGTCCTTGTTATTCATCAGAGAACCCACACAGGGGAGAGACCACATAAGTGCTTGAACTGTGGGAAAAGTTTCATTCAGAGGTCAGACCTTCTTAAACATCAGAGAATCCACACAGGAGAGAGACCTCACAAGTGCTTGGACTGTGGGAAAAGTTTTAGTCGGCGGTCAGCTCTTTTTAAACATCACGCATTCCACACTGGAGAGAGACCCCATAAGTGTTTAGACTGTGGAAAAACTTTCATATGGAGGTCAGACCTTGTTAAACATCAGAGAACCCACACAGGAGAGAGACCCCATAAGTGTTTACACTGTGGGAAAAGTTTCACACGGAGGTCAGTCCTTGTTAATCATCAGAGAATCCACACAGGAGAGAGACCCCATAAGTGTTTAGACTGTGGGAAAAGTTTCACATGGGGCTCAGACCTTCTTAAACATCAGAGAATCCACACAGGAGAGAGACCCCACAAGTGCTCAGACTGTGGAAAAGGTTTCATATGGAGGTCAAACCTTGTTAGACATGGGTCAATCCACACAGGAGAGAGACCCCACAAGTGCTTGGACTGTGAGGAAATTTCACACAGAGATCACACCGCATTAAACATGAGAGAATCCACACAGGATCTAAAATTCTCTGTCACAGGGACAGAAGGTGTTAAGGAAATTGCATGTAATTGACCAAGATACAGCCTTTAGAGACATATTCGAAAAGTGTGTCCTCGTTAGATAAACTAGAGCTTCGAAAGGTAAACGTGTATTGTTAAAGACATGGAAGAAGATGGTACCTGAAGTAGTCTTTGTTTAGCTATATCTTGTTAGTGGTTAACAATGGAAATAAACGGTTCCTGTCTAGGGCTGTATTCAGAGATCAAAAGGGAATATTAACATTTAGATAAAACTTGCTTGTAATAATGTCATTGTTTGTCTCCTGAAAGTTTGTCGTAAACTGTCTATGAACTGCTTTATGGAGAATCACCTTATGATAATCCATGTAATTAATTACCAGTGATCTTTAGGAAATAGAAGGTTACTTCAAAAGCCTATTGTTCAGCCAAGGACTGTGTGCTGTCATGACGCTGCAAAAATGATCCTTTCTTTTTTGATCTGCTGAACCTTTATACCGAGGGGAGTGTGAGTCAGAAGATGGAGATCTCCAGTCCTATCTGGACTGCCCTGACATTGGACTAGAACTTGATGAAACGATTCTGTAAAGGATTCTTTGCAATTCTAAAGCATCAGCTGTACAATGAAACTGAGCTAAGGACTCTATGCATGTCTCTGTGTATAATGATCTTTTCACCAGCACACTCTCTCTTTTCTTCTTTTAATAAATCTTAGTTGAGTTAATAAGAATTGGCTGTAAGCGTGTATTTGGGTAAGAACTGAAATATTCCTTAACTTGGTGGATAATGTATAGGATCCTTTGGGATTGGTGGAACTTTTTAATGTGATGAATAAGATTTTCAGCAGTCCCCATCATGTTGAAGTGGGCTGTCTGGGAGGGAGCCCAAGGCGGGGTTGCTTTAAGGGAGCTGTGCTTTGGTTTCTGTGTCGCAGTACGGTATTGTAGAAGCTGTCTTGTTGCTGGCCTGGTGAATCTAAGGGTAAGTCTATACTACGAAATTAGGTCGATTTTTCAGAAGCGATTTTATACAGTCGATTGTGTGTGTCCCCACTAAGCGCATTAAATTGGTGGAGTGCATCCACAGTACCGTGGCTAGCGTCGACAGTCAGAGCGGTGCACTGTGGGTAGTTATCCCACAGTTCCCGCAGTCTCCGCCACCCACTGGAATTCTGGGTTAAGCTCCCAGTGCCTGATGGGGCAAAAACATTGTTGTGGGTGGTTTTGGGTACATGTCATCAGTCTCCCCTCCCTCCCTCCATAAAAGCAACGGCAGAGAATCATTTTTCGCCTTTTTTCATGGATAACCCACGCAGACGCCATAGCATTGTAAGCACGGAGCCCGTTGAGATCACCGCAGCAGTTGTGAGCATTGTAAACACCTCACGCATTATCCTGCAGTATGTGCAGAACCTGGAGAGGAGGTGACACCAGCACGATGACGATAGTGATGAGGACATGGACACAGACTTCCCTCAAAGCATGGGATGTGGCAATTGGGACATCATGGTGGCATTGGGGCACGTTCATACCCTGGAACGCCGATTCTGGGCCCGGCAAACAAGCACAGAGTGGTGGGACCGCATAGTGTTGCAGGTATGGGATGATTCCCAGTGGCTGTGAAACTTTTGCACGCGTAGGGCCACTTTCATGGAATGTTCTGACTTGCTTTCCCCTGCCCTGAAGCGCAAGAATACCAAGATGAGAGCAGCCCTCACAGTTGAGAAGCAAGTGGCAATAGCCCTGTGGAAGCTTGCAACACCTGACTGCTACCAGTCAGTCGGGAATCAATTTGGAGTGGGCAAATCTACTGTAGGGCCTGCTGTGGTCCAAGTAGTCAATGCAATCACTAACCTTCTGCTATCAAGGGTAGTGACCCTGGGAAATGTGCAGGTCATAGTGGATGGCTTTGCTGCAATGGGATTCCCTAACTGTGGTAGGGCAATAGACGGAACGCATATCCCTATCTTGGCACCGGAGCACCTTGGCAGCCAGTACGTAAACCACAAAGGATACTTTTCAATGGTGCTGCAAGCAATGGTGGATCACAAGGGACGTTTCACCGACATCAACGTGGGATGGCCGGGAAAGGTGCATGATGCTCGCATCTTCAGGAACTCTGGGCTGTTTGAACAGCTGCAGGAAGGGACTTCCCAGATCAGAAAATTACTGTTGGAGATGTTGAAATGCCCATAGTTATCCTTGGAGACTCAGCCTACCCCTTGCTCCCGTGGCTCATGCAGCTGTACACAGGCAGCCTGGACAGTAGTAAGGAGCAGTTCAACTACAGGCTGAGCAAGTGCAGAATGGTGGTAGAATGTGCATTTGGACCTTTAAAAGCTTGCTGGAGCTGTTTGCTTACTAGGTTAGACCTCAGTGAAACTAATATTCCAATTGTTATTGCTGCTTGCTGTGTGCTCCACAATATCTGTGAAAGTAAGGGGGAGACATTTATGGCAGGGTGGGAGGTTGAGGCAGATCGCCTGCCAGTCGATTTTGTGGAGCCAGACACCAGGGCAATTAGAAGAGCACAGCCGGGCGTACTGCACATCAGAGAAGCTTTGAAAACCAGTTTCATGATTGGCCAGGCTACGGTGTGACAGTTGTGTTTGTTTGTTTCTCCTTGATGCAAACCCACCCCCTTGGTTGACTCTAATTCCCTGTAAGCCAACCACCTCCCCTCTTCAATCAGAGCTTGCAAAGGAAATAAAGTCACTATCGTTTCAAAACCATGTATTCTTTATTAATTGATTTAAAAAATAGGGAGATACCTCACAAGGTAGCCCGGGTGGGGTGGGGAAGGAGGGAAGGACAAGGCCACACGACAAATCAAAACTTATTTTATGCCAGACTGCTGTTGCTTGGGCAATCCTCTGGGGTGGAGTGGCTGGGTTCCTGGAGCCTCCCCTTCCCCTGGCGTTCTTGGGCATCTGGGTGAGGAGGATATGGAACTTGGAGAGGAGGGCAGGTGGTTATTCAGGGGGGCCTTCTCCGGCTTCATGGTCCGGAAGCACGTCTTGGGGGGGTATTGGCTCCAGTGAGGTGAAAAGTTCTAGGCTGCTGGGGAGAATGATTTCTCCGCTTGCCTGCTGTGTACTCTCCTCCTCCTCTTCCTCATCCACAAAATCCTCCTCCCTCTTGCGTGAGACTCCCCCCTTGCAGGTGTCCACGGACAGTAGTGGGGTAGTGGGCCCCTCCCTAGAATTTCATGCAGCTGATCTTAGGAGCAGCATGTCTGAGGTTCTGACCCGGAGTGACCGTTTACCTCCTTTGTTTTTGGTCGGCTTGCCTGAGCTCCTTAATTTTCACGCGGCACTGCTGTGTGTCCCTGGTGTAGCCTCTGTCCACCATGCCCTGTGCAATTTTGGCATATATATTAGCATTTTGTCTTTTTGATTGGCGTTCTGCCTGCACAGATGTTTCTCCCCATACAGCAATCAGATCCAGTGTCTCCCGTTTGGTCCATGCTGGAGCTCTTTTGCGATTCTGGGACTGCATGGTCACCTCTGCTGCCACGCTCGCCAGGCTGATCAAACAGGAAATGACATTCAAAAGTTCCCGGGGCTTTTCCTGTGTACCTGGCTAGTGCATCTGAGTTGAAAGTGCTGTCTAGAGTGGTCACAATGGAGCACTCTGGGATAGCTGCCAGAGGCCAATATCGTCGAATTGCATCTACACTACCCCAAATTCGACCCAGCAAGGTTGATTTTTGCACTAATCCCCGCGCCGGAGAGGAGTACAGAAGTCGATTTTGAGACCCCTTTAAGTCGACAAAACAGGGTTGGTCGTGTGGACAGATAGAGCATTAAATCGACCTAACGCTGCTAAATTCGACCTAAACTCGTAGTGTAGACCAGGGCTCGCAAGCCGCCACCAACGGAGTGGGGGCATCCACCAATGGTCCCCAGTCCTCGCTGGCCCACAGCTCCCCACTCCTCCTGGGCACTGGGGAATGCCCTGTGGTTCCCCACTACCCATGGGCATCGTGGGATCCCCCTCAGTTCCCCAGTTGCCACGTGTGTCTGGGACCTCTGGAGTTCCCAAGGGCCCATGGATAAAGGGGGGAATCCTGAGTAGCTCCCCAGAGCTTGGGAATGTTTGGGAATTTCCCTGGGGGCAGGGAGGAAATGGCTCCCCAGTCCCCACGAGTTGGGGGGGGAATCCCCTGTTGCTCCCCAGTTCCACCCAGGGCTTTGGGGGAATTCCTGCGGCTCCTCAGGCCCTGCGGATGGGAGGGAATCCCCCTTCAACCTTTCCAGAGGCCATGGGGTTGGGAATCCTGCTCAGGAATCTGTCCTCAGCTCCCCAGCGCAAGGTGCAGCGAGGAAAACTTTTGAAGCTCCCTATTCCGCATGAGTGTGGGGGAATGCAATCTCTGCGGGCATTGGGGATCGCCCCCACCCCATGTGCTGCTTTGTTTCCCTGCCCCTGGCTGGGCTGGTGTGGATGGAGGCTGCAGCTCAGGGAGATCGGAGGGGCAGAAGGTGGGCTGAGGCCAAACTGAATGCAGGGTGGGGTGCCCCATCCTGGGCCAGGGAAGGAGGAGGGCCCAGGGGCACAATCAGGGAGGGGGAGCAGCACAGGCTCTGGATTTAGGCTAGCGGGGCCCTGCCGCACCCCCTGGCTTGAAGGGGTTTCCATCCTATCCAGGCTTTACAGTTTGGTTCAATGGCTCTCAGTGCTCCCCCCACCCCCCGCCCTGGTACAGATTGTTTCAGGCCCCCTGCCTGGGACTAGGAGCCGAGGATAAAAATGGGTACAGCTGGTGGGGGATGAGCCCCTCTCCCACTGTAGGGACAGGACCCCAACCCCTGAGCACCCCCAACATCCCCCCCACTGAGCATGTGGCCCCAGCCTTCCTGGTCCTGGGGCCCAGGGAGGGCGTATGGCCCCAGTCTGAACCTCAGGGGCAGCCGAAGGAGAAGCCTGACATGCTCCTCACAGGGGCCGTGCACCCCACCTCCGCAGTCAACTGTGACTCTCAGCCAGCCTGGAAAACAGAAGGGTTTGTTGGTCGCTGGGAAGGCGGCATAGAACAGAGCTTGTTAGCACAGAAACCAAGAGCGTTTGGCAACGTCCGGCTTGGGGGGAATCCAGAGTCTTGAGTCCTGGGCTCTCCCCACTGAGTCCCAAACCAGGAGACTGAGCCGCTTCCAGCCCCCCATCCTCACTGACACCCAGCTGCCCCTCCCCCATGCTTTCTCTCTTTCCCAGGAAAACAGGTCACCGGGCCTCCCCCTCTCTCTTTGTTCTCCAACATCTTCGGCTGGCTCCTTGCAGAGGATGAGCTCTGGCCATCACTTGCCAGGATAGAGAATTTTGGCCATTCTCTACACCCAGGCAGCCACTCTGCCATCACGCCTGCCCTCTAGAGGTCTCCACAATGATCACACCCCTGTATCCCACCAAGTTGATACTTGCGTAACACATGGGGAAACTGAGGCACACACACAGTAGTCAGAAAAAACATTAAGAACAATCCCGCTTCATGAATCCCTCTGAGACCAGCCCAGGGGCACTTTCTGCAGTGGCTGGAACCACTCTGCCCATACCAGCCCCTGAGCCTGAGCCTGCAGGTGATGGAGAAACCTGGGGAAGGGGCTGGGGCTGGACAGGAAAGTGGTGCTGCACAAATGGCCCCTTTCAGGGACTGGTTGGGGAGTTTGGCCTACGTGGGGAGGGGATTCCCTGTGTCTGCGAGTCCCAGAGCTGCTGCCCTCCATGTCACAGC